CTTTACGAGGTGGGTGGGTGGTAGGAAAGCAGGAGGGGGCGGCCGCGGCGGCCTTGGCTTCCCTCCGACTCTCCCCCTCCCGATAGGCGGACGATGAAGAAGCTATACATCGGCAACCTGAGCCCGGCCGTGACTGCCGAGGAGCTCCGGCAGCTCTTCGGGGACAGGAAGTTGCCCCTCACCGGGCAGGTCCTACTCAAGTCCGGCTACGCTTTCGTGGACTACCCGGACCAGAACTGGGCCATCCGCGCCATCGAAACTCTCTCCGGTAAGCCAGGAAGCGCGGCGCTCAGGACTAACCCGAGGGCGTGCGGAGATACCTCTTTGCCTTGACCTCCCCCCGCCCCCCGCCCCGCTCCTGGCCACTATTCCGCCTTCCGTCTGGATGGACGAGGCCCCTTGGAGCCGGCAGGGCAGCGAGTGTGTCGGGGACAATCCCTGCTTGGGCGAGATGTTGACGCGGGGGGTGGGGGGAGTGTCCCCTATTTACTCAGCTCCCCCGCGAGAGGCGGGGGGAGGGGACCCGGTGCCCCTCTCCTGACCGAAACGAAGCTGTCTTCGTTGCCTCTCGGAGGGCGGTGCTGCTCCCAGAGCCTGTGAGCCGGTGCCCGCGCCTAGGCGCCCTTTCCCGTTCGCCCTGAGTGCGCTGCGCTTCAGCAGGCGGCCCGGCGGGCGAGGGAGGGATTTTTCGCTGATTTTTTTCTCCGATTTTATTGAGCGGCTCCAGAGTGCGGGGGACCGCTCCCTTTAGTTCTCCCGGCACCCGCTAGATCTGGGGCACCTTTCTACGAGGTGCCCTGTCCCAACTCGCCGGGAGCCCGGAGCAAAGAGCCCAAATCTGCCTGGGGGCCCGGAGTGACGCGCAGCCCTGAGGCCGGCCAACCACACCGGGGACGAGCCGAGCCACGGCTTGAATTGACGGAGAGGGACGTTTGGGCCAGCCCCCGGAGGCAGACGGTCCATCGGGATTCAGCTGGCCCGCCTGGAGCCGCTACGAAGAACCACTTGGAGTATAGTTGGCCCTTCCCTCACAGGCGCACCTCGGCCGTTTCGTTCCGGAGGTTGAATGTTAGCCGGAGCCCAGGTCGGGCGAGCCCAGTTTGTTTAAGCACCAGCCCTTGAATGTGGCAATTTGTCTGCTGACTCCTCGATCGTTTGCTGGCGGTCCTAGGAATAGTTTGGGCAGAAGAATTCTACCTGAACGGGGCGGGGGTGCGCGCGCGCGCGCGC